GCTTAATTCTTACCTTAAAATGGCACCAAAAGGAAAGATAATTTCTAGTGATGGGAATAAAATAGAAAGTGACTGGGGGGAAAAATAATCGATTTGCCTTAGCTAGACAACAGACTCATTAAGGATCTAAAGGGGTCCTTAAAGGTGTACGCCTCACAGAACAAATACTGTTGAAGTGGTTACAAGGATAGTAAATCCTTTGAGAGCATTAATGGGCTACTGTATAATAAAATGGTAAAAGCTCTGCCACTTATTTTCATGATTGTGACCAATCTCAGGCAAGTCAGCTTCTTTAACGAATGCAAAGCGGAGCCTGCAATACGAGAATAAAAAACAAAAATTTGCATTATTTCCATATTGGAAAAGCTCCTATTTTTAAAAATATTTCTTAGCGGAGAACATTACAAATTTTTGATTATCCAAAAGAGCTGTAATTTTCTTTGGAAATTAGACTAATATACACAGTAACTGGCTGGCACTACAATATATATATATACACACACACACACACACACACACACACACACACACACACACACACACATATATATATATATATATCCGTCCACTGAAGTGACAACTTTTTTCATTTAAAACTTGTATCTCGCAAAACTAATCCTGGGGAAGCTACACAGGCACACAATCAATAAGCATTAGTGAACGAATACATGAAAAATATACAAACTAGAGTAATAAGGCTTCATTATGTGCATGCCACAACTCAAGAAAAGGAAAGAGTCACAACAGCCGCCCCATGGCCTGGAAGAACCGCGTCCCTTTGTGACCAGGCTCCCCTGAGGGTGTAACCAATAATGTCCCAGACCCAGAACGTCAGGGATGGCACGTAGGAACCTGGTGCCTATCAGCGGAGCCTCCCAGAAGAAATTCTGTCCTCTGTTTACATGCAGACCGACCCTGATTCCGCAGATTCGGGAATAGTCAATGTGCTTTCCCTACTACTGCAACACACTATCACAGAGGACAGTACGCTTGTGGTTTCTACACTTAAAACACAACAATAGCCACTACACACACAACTGACTTTTCAATCCTTATTTCATTTTAAAGAACTCAATAGCTTACTTTCAGAATAGTTACAGCTATTTTCAGAAAGCCTTCCCTGAAAAATAAACAGGTTACTCACACTAAACATTTTCTTGCCTGTGTACAGGGATATAAAAGTAGAGAAGGAGGAAAGGAACGGGTCCACTAGACTCTTCTACAAGCAGAAAAATGAAAATGCTTAAAAACCATTGCCCATGGAAATAGATTTCTTTGTAAGTTTGTGTACAGAGTTTTTCTCCCTTTATTTTTAACCAGAGGCCCGTGCATGAAATTCATGCTGGGGAGGAGGGTCCCTCAGCCCACCCTGCACCCTCTGGTGGTCAGTGCATATCATAGCAACTGGTCATTCTGGTCGTTCTGCCATAACCGTTGCTTACACTTTTATTACATAGATTGAATAGAGACATTTTAGTAGTGCATATTAACAGGTGACAAGGAAAGGGGTTGTTTTTTTTACCCCCCTTGGCTCACTTCCCTTTAGACTTTTCAAAAGTGGAATGACCACACGCTGTTCCAAACATAATACATGACTTTGCTTTTGCCTAGACCTCAATGAAGGAAATTCAAAAAGAAAATAAATGTTCCTGTTTCCATTTTCCCTAGCTCAGCCTCAGCTCTCTTTGGATGAAATCAGTCTCTCGAGGGACATCAACCTAACAATTTCAGAAACAATGCTCCAGATATGAAACAAAGAGGGACACAATGGAAAACCAGCAGCCATTTGTTTTTCCACCTGGGAGGATTAGACTGTACAACATCCTTTTTAAGAAGCCAAATTACTATTCAGAATTATAAATTAATCTTTGTAATACAAATGAATTTAGCTTCAGTAAACAAAATGGGGGGGGGGGGGGATGAAGTCCTTGATTACAAGCAATCTCTGAAATAAAACTAAAAAACCAGGATATCCCAGTTATTAATAGATCCCTTAGTTTATGATAAATCTGACTTAAAATTTCTGTGTAAAATAAATAACGCATAACTCAAGTAAAATATTAAAAAGAATGCATAACAATGTTTTTTTATACATGCTATACATGTATAATCCTTATAGTACTTTAATCCTTATGGTAACTTTATAATATTTTTAAGTATTTTAAAACAGGGTTCAGCAAACCACAGCCCGTGGGGGAAGGAGGGAACTGCCTGTTTTTTGTAAATAAAATTTTACTAAAAAACATCTACACTCAATTGTTTACAGATTGTTGATGGCTGCTTTCTACTACAGTTGCAGAGTTGAATAGCTGTGATAGAGACTGTATGGTTTGCAAAGCCAAAATATTTATTCTTTGGGTCTTTTTGGAAAAAGTTTGCATTCCCTGCTCCAAACCAATAGATCTCAAAACTTAACATCCATAAGAAACACCTGCACAACTTGTTAAACTAAAGTTTCTTGGGCTCTATCTTCATAGGTCATGATTCAATAGGTTGGGATGGGGTCCATGAACTTGCATTTCTAACAAGTTCACAAGTTGCTGGTCTATGAACTAAACTTTGAGAACCACTGTTCTAAACCATCTCATATACACTGGCCAGACTATTATGATCTCTGATTGCATAATAATCTGGCTACTCACTGTATATCCTATATAATAAAAGGCTAATATGCAAATTGTCCTTCAACCAGGAGTTCGACTAGCAGGCAAGCCAGCCAACTGCCCATGTCCCTCCCCCTGGCCAGGCTGGCCGGACCCCACTCATGCATGAATTCATGCACAGAGCCTCTAATATATATATATACTGTATATATACTGAGTGGCCAGGTGGCCAGGTTATTATGTGTTCAGAGATCATAATAATCTGGTCACTCGGTGTAATTACAGACTTGCAATGACCATGACTACTATAAGTTCTATAAAACAGGATAGCCATCATACAAAATGAAAACTGATGCATGAAAGAGGAGTGAGACAGATCTCTAGAATTACATGAAATTCCTGAAAGCTAAGGAAGCCCAACATCAGATACTTCTTCCGCCCCTCAGCCTAACACTGATTCCTAGGACATTGGAAATGCAGCAGGAACCAGGAGCAATGGAAGGCAGTTGGGCTGGAGGTGTAAAACCCACCTAGTCTTTAGAAAGCTATAAAACACTTTAAAAGTCAAGATACATGCAGTTAATAATTTAGTACTTGTCTGGATTACAAATAAGTATCAAAATACCATGTTTGGGGGGAAATGTAACACATATAGTTTATAATACAATGATCCAATCAAAAGATGAATTTCTTCACTCCATATAAATGCAAATGGTTAAAAGCAGAATTAAAATAAATTATAACACATACGTGTCAAGCTAATATGGGAAAGAATACAGAAGATGTCAACTGACATATTTTATTAGAACTAGGCTCAGGCTGAAAGTGGATGATACATAAACCACTTAAAAATATTAGAATGTGTTTTACTTAGACACTGCAGGAGGTAAAGGTGTAAGGTAAAGATTTGGGGGGAAATTCTCTTTGCTGATTTATTAGGACAGGAAACACCACCTTTTTCTTTATCCAGGCTTTATTGACACCTGTCATGGCTTTCTAGTGAGAGAGCCATTTACATAATTGCACCACAGCATGGTAAGCATGAGAACAGTCATATATATTCAGAGAAAAGAATGACATAACTATTCCCCACTATATACTTTAATCAGATTAAACCATCAAAATAATTCTGATTAATCAATTAAAGTCTCACTGCATCATTTGGGTTTAAAATCACATCTCGCACTGGTCTGAAAGACCACTGGAAGGTTGTCATGATACAACGTGTCGTGCCCATTTAAAGTACACCGACTTCAGTATTTAAAAGCCTCCCATTTTAGACCCGAGTCTACAATGAAGTAGTCCGGCAACTCTCCAACTAACCAGCAATGAAAGACTTCTGAAGCTGTAAAATCAAGTTTGGTCAGTTTTTAAAGTAGTGCCTACGTTAAAATGACAGGGATTTCATCCCTTCACAGCAACAGGAGGGGAAAAGAAGCACTTACCATCCTTAGAAAGTTTTTTCTGAAGATAAACTACACGAACATTTGTCGCCTTTCCATCATGAGTCTTATCAGCCTAACTGATCTGAACGGGAGGGTAGGCAGGTCCCTGTCTGGATAGGTAACTCTTCCCACACCTCCGCGGCCATCTGCATATCTCTAAGCCACCGAAGGCACCTAGGGCAACCTCTAGGATCACTCTGCTCCGTCCCTGACCTGCGGTTTCTTTTAAAAAGTATCTTACAAAGAATATTCCAGTGCCTAAAAAAGCCACTTTTTGTAGCAAAACACTATCGACAACTTCAAAATCTTCCAATTATCTTCCTGCTTCAGAGAACGGTGCCAAGGGAACATTACAACTACTTACGGAAATACATGTACTCTAAGCCCTGATACGCCAAGGGTGCAGTGAGGGCACATACAAGAATCAACCAGTGAACGTATAAGGAAGTAGAACAACAAATCCACCTCCCCCCCCCCCCGCCCCCGTTTCTCTCTTTCTAAAATCAATACATTAAAAATAACAAAGAATTTTTTTAAAAAAAGAAGAAAATACATGTAGTCCGGACAATATAGATTGTATGTTTCATGAATTAGGAAAAATTCAGAATTCACCTTAATAGAGGAACTACCATCATCGATTTCAGGAAGGCGAACCATCTGCCGGGTGCAAGACATTTCTAAATCGTCCATAACTTTGCTTTCTATAAAATGAACCCCATGTGAAGCAAGTCCCCCAAACAGGGCCACAAATGTACACAAACCATACATTTGTAGCTAGCGTAATTCAATCTCCAGAAGGATTTCTTCCAAAGGGGACTTGTTCCCACACCTGCAAGAATCCCTCATTGTCTTAAAAAAATAATAATAAAATAAAAAAGTCACCGTCATCGTTTATTCCAGGACAAGAGCAATAAGCTCCTTTTCTAGGAAGGAATAAAAAAAAACAACTCACCTCCATTTTCAGAGCAGCAGTGTTCTGGTCGTAATGGCCCATCAGGTTGGGGAAAAACGTCATGTTGTAGGCCATTTTCGTACAGCGGGGCACAGTGATGGGCTCACAGGTGAAAAGGCTGTGCCCTCTGACGAGGGGCAGGAAGACACCGACCCACAGCATCGCCCGCATCTCCGTCCTCTCCAGCCTCCTGCTCCTACCGCATGGCGTGGCTGAACCGCTCGCTCTTCTCCTTCTCAGATTGCCGGCCCAAGAGAGAGGGTTCCCAGGTCTCCCTTCATCATCCCACCATGCTGAAGGCGGCTCCTCTCCTGAAAGTGAATTCCGAGCCAATTACTACTACTACTACTACTACTACTACTACTAATAATAATAATAATAATAATAATAATAATAAAACAACCACCCAGAGGGAGCTCCAGGGACATCTGTCATAAACTCCAGTGGGCTCTCACCGAGGGGAGAAGGCAGCCGCTGGGAAAAGGACGGAACATTCCATCCTTTGGGGATCCTCTCCCGCCTGCCCGGCCTCCGCGGAGGAGGAACCGGCCTCTCCGGGAACCGCGACCGCAGGGGGGTGTGTGGCGCGAGCTCGGGGTGCCCAGGGGGCACACAAGGGGTGCATAAGGGGCGCAACAGGGGGTGCACAGGGGGAAAAGGGGTGCACAGGGGCGCACAGGGGGCGGACAGGGGGTGCACAGGGGCGCAGAGGGGACGCTCAGGGGGCACAGGAGGCGCTCAGGGGGTGCACAGGGTGCAGAGGGGGTGCACAGGGGGCACAGAAGGCGCTCAGGGGGTGCACAGGGGTGCAGAGGGGGTGCATAGGACGGACAGGGGTGCAGAGGGGGCGCACAGGGGCGGACAGGGATGCACAGGGGGCGCACAGGGCGGACAGGGGGGCACAGGGGACGCACAGGGTGGACAGGGGGGCACAGGGGGCGCGCAGGGGCGGACAGGGGTGCAGAGGGGGCGCACAGGGGCAGACAGGGGGCACAGGGGGGCACAGGGGGCGCTCAGGTGCCGCACAGGGGCCGGTGGGTGAGTGAGATGGAGAGGAAAGGAGCGCGGCGTCGGGACACGTTACACAGGATGAACGGAGCCATAATAAAGCCCAGGGGGCCCTGCTGGACGTGCGATCACAGGAACTCCGGGTGCCGGGGACAGGCCTGAAGACTAAGGAGGTTCTACACGCTCCAAGCGCCCCCAAGAGCCCGTTTTGGGGGGGAGTGGTCGGGGATCTGATACTTTCCTGGCAGTGAAAGCGGAGACTTTCCGAGCTCCCACCTGCGGAGCGGCCGGACCAGTTTTCGGGAGCGGAGGTGGGGGTGGGGGAGCGGGGTGGGTGAGGGGGAAGCGGGGTGGGGGGTGGGGAAGCGGGGGGTGTGTGTGTGGGGGGGGGGGTTCCCACCGCCGGGGAAGTAGGCCGATCCCGATCGGTCCCCGAGGGCGGCTCTGGGCCTGGGTCTCCCACGGCCGCGCCCTCACCCCGAACTCCCGCCGGCCCGGCTCCCAGTGCGGGCGGGTCTCCCCCACCGTCCCCGTCCCCCGCCCCCGGCACCTGCCCGGCCTGCCGGGGCCTCAGCGCCCGCCGCGGGCCCCGCACCGCCGTCCGGAGCGGCCCGGCCTCCGCGGGAACTCGGTCCGGCCGCCCCGCCGCGCCCCGTCCCGCCCCGTCCGGCACCTGCGGCTCCGCGCCCGCCCGCCCGCCCGTCGGGAGTCCGATGGCCCAGCCCGCGGGCCTCACCTCGGCAGATCCCGGGCGGCTCGGCCCGGCCCCGTGCAGCCGCCGTCCGGCCGCGACCTGAGGCGGCCCCGGCGTCGGCGAGTCCAGCGCCCCGAGCCGCACGGGGAGCGAGAGCTGCGCGATCCCGCGAGACTGCGCCGCCCGGGCGCCGGGCAGGTCCGGGCTCGCGGCGCGGCGGCGGGGAGCGGGGAGCGGGGTGCGGGGTGCGGCTGGCCCTCCGCCCGCCCCGCCCAGAGGCGCCCGCGGGCCGGGCGGGGTGACCGGTGCGGGGGAGCTGGGGGCCCCGGGGGCTCCGGGCAGGGGATCCCCTCCACCTTGAGGTCTGCGATGCCATCTCAGGGCTGCCCTGTCCCGGGGGGGGGGGGGGGGGGGGCTGCCTGAAGGGTTGGTTGAAACTCTGGGTGACCCCCCCAAATAAAGCTTCCTTTAAAAAGAACCCACTTCCTTTGGAGTTTGGGAGCCAAGACTTATAAAAATAAATTATATTTCAATTACAATTGACATTCAATATTATTTTGTGTTAAGTTGAGGTGTACAACCTAGTGGGTAGGCAGTCATATACTTTACAAAGGGGATTTCCCCCATATTGCCAGGATCCACCTGGCATTATACATAGTTATTACAGTATTAGTGACTGTATTCCCTGTGCCTGTACTTCCCATGTTTTGCAATGACTAATTTGTGCATCTTAAGCCCTTCGCTTGGATCACCCAGTCAGTCCCCCAGCCCTCCTCCCCGCTGGCAAACACCCTCTGTTTGTTCTCTGTGTCTGTTTCTGTTTAGTTGTTTGCTCTTTAGTTTCCACGTACAAATGAAATCATGTGGTATCTGACCTGAACTGACTTGTTTCACTGACTAGTAAGTAGCTTAACGCCCTTCGGGTCCATCCATGCTGTCACAGAGAGTGGGATTTCATTCCTTTCTATGGCCGAGTAATATTCCATTCTGTATACGTGCCATCTCTCTTTTTTTATCCACTCTTCTATTGATGGGCACTTGTGTTACTTTTGTATCCCAGGAGCCAAGACTTTTAAACAGGGCCAATTTGCTCTATTAAGCCGATTGCCTGAGTCAGATTAGTTGGAAACTGAGTTATTTCCTGGATAGCTATACTGAAGGAAAAAAAAAAAAAAAAAAAAAAAAAAAAAAAAAAAAAAAAAAAAGCTTTTATTCGTTCAGGGAGTCTGGGCATCAACTTGAGGCACAGGTGCCAATGGGATTCCAACCCTGGCAGGTCCTACAGTTTTATTGATTCAGAATCGTAATGGAAAGATGAACTGCTTTAGAAGTTAACCAAGTTTTTAGTACCAACTATCATCAGACTCACAATCTCATGAGCTCAACCTAGTCACCCCTCCTTCCCTGACAACCAGGACTCTGCTATTCCCATAGTGTTGTCTTTTCCAGAATGTCACATAGTCGGAACCATACAGGTGGGGCCAATCACATAGACTTGTTTTTTTCCACTTTTTCCACTTCCATGTCTTCTCATGGCTTGACAGCTCATCTCTCTTTGGTGCTGAAAACTCTTCCCAGTGTCTGGATGTGCCACTGGTTATTATCCATTCACCCACTGAAGGACTTCGTGGTCGATTCCAAGTTTTGGCAATTATGAATAAAACACCTCTAAACACCTGTGTGCAGGTTTCATATGGACATAGGTTTCAGCTTTTTTTTTTTTTTTTTTTTTTTTGAGTAAATACCAAGGAGTACAACGGCTGGATCCTATGGTGACAGTATGTTTAGTTCTATAAGAAACCGCCAAACTGTCATCCCACGTGGCTATACCCTTCTGCATTCCCGCCAGCAACGCTTGAGAGTTCTGGCTGCTTCATACCCTCGCCAGCATGGGTGCTGGCAGTGTCCCAGATTTTGGCCATTCTCATAGGCATGGAGTGGTATCTCCTTGTTTTAATTTGTATTTCCCCGATGACAGAGGATGTGAGCATCCTTTCATGTGCTTATTTACCATCTGTATGGCTTCTTTGATGAGGTGCCTGTTAAGGTCTTTGGCTTGTTAGTCACATTGTTTGTTTTCTTGTCGTTGATTTTTTAAGAGTCCTTTGCATATTTTTAATAGCAATCTTTTATCAGATATATCTTTTGCAAATATTTTTCTCTCAGTCTGTGGCTTATCTCCTAATTTTCTTGACATTATCTTTGGCAGAGCAGAAATTTTAAATTTTAATGAAGTCGAGCTCATCAATTATTTCTTTTGTTGATTGTACCTTAGGTACTGTATCTAAAAAGTCATCACCAAACCCCCAAATTCTGGATTTTCTCCTGTTTTATCTCCTAAAGAGTTTTATGTTTGACATTCATGTCTATGATCAATTTGGAGTTAATTTTTGAGTTAATTAGTAAGATTTGTAACCAGAGTCATTTTTTTGTGTGTGGGGTGTCCAGTTGTTCCAACACTGTTTGTTGAAAAGACAATATCCCCTTTGTTCCTTTGTCAAAGATGAGTTGACTTTATTTATATGGATCTATTTCTGGGCTCTCTTCTGTTCCATTGATTTGTCTGTCAATAATAGAGTGACTTAATTACTGCAGTTTTATTCTTTTGCCAATAATAGAGTGACTTAATTACTGCAGTTTTATAGTGAGTTTGAAATCAGGTAGTATCAGTCTCTAACATTGTTTTTTCAGTAGTGTGTTGGCTAGTCTGGGTTTTTTCCTTCTCTAGATAAACATCAGACTCAATTTGTCGATATCCACAAAAAATGGATTTTGGTTGAGTTTATACATCAAGTTGGGAAGCACTGACATCTTGACAATATTGAGTCTTCCTATCCACAAAAAATGAATATCTCACCATTTATTTAGTTCCTCTTTGATTTCTTTCTTGGTTTTCCTCATGTAGATCTTATATATATTTTGTTAGATTTATACTTAAATATTTCATTTTGGAGTGTGTGTTTTTTTTCTTCATAATTAAATGGTACTGTGGAGGGGGGTTGTTTGGTGACTTTTCCCCCCTAATTGGTGTTATGTTTTTAATTTCAAATTTCACTTGTTCATTACCGGTACATAGGAAAGTGATTGATTTTTATGTTAACCTTGTATTCTGCAATCTTGCTATAATCACATAAGTTCTAGGAGGGTTTTTTTTTTTTAGCTTATTCTTTCAGATTTTCTACATAGATAATCATGTCATCTGCAAACAAACAATTTTATTGCTTCCTTCCCAAGCTGTACACCTTTAATTTCCTTTTCTTGTCTTATTGCATTAGCTAGGACTTCCTGCCTGGCCTTTCAAAAGTGTGGGGGTCCCTGAAGACTGAGTCCCCATGGAGTTTTTAACTGTCAAACTTGTCCACACAGCCCCAGTAATTCAGATTTTCTTACCTCCTATGGGTTCCTCTGGAGGTTTCTACTCATGGGTTTCTGTTCCAGCAAGTTGTGATTCTTTGTATCTGCCTGTCTG